TTCGTGAAAAACGCTCGCCGGCGCGAAGAAAGCAAAGAGATGAAAAGTGGCGGAATTTCGGGAACACCAAAGTTTCTTTAACAAAAATGCGCGAGCAAGCTTTATCTGGATTTTACAATACCGTAACAGTTGTCAAACACGAATTCGAAGCCAAAATCTTTCTGCAATTCTTATCTGTATGTATTTATATCGATCGATCTTTGTGTAAATTATGATATACAGATTTGTATGTTTACAATTTTCATAAGAGACGTTCTGTACATTTTAAATGTGGTTATTTTCTGATTGCTAATTAAATGTCAATGGAAACGCGGAACATTCGTAGTAACGCGCGCCGAACGATGGCGCGTGTGTTGATTGCTAATTTTATTGTATAGTATATTCTTAGGCTTAATTGCCTCGATAGATCAGTCGTAGATGTTGTAAGTTGCAAGATATTGACTTTGCAAGAAATTTTAAGAAATTTGACCTCATTATTTACGGGAAAAATCAGCCATGTATATTAAAGGTGCTGTACATAACTAATCGCTATTTAATTGCATCACGCGAACAAATAATAGTTTTTCTATGATATCTCATTAACGTCGCTTCTCGATAAAATAAGAATTATAGATTAATTAGAATTATAGAATTGATATTATCGGCATTTTTTTACGGGTTGTTTTATATTGAGAAAGAGCAGGGATGTCTTAGCATCTTTGCAAAAAATGTACCTACTTATTATTTTATCATTGAAAAAAATAATATGGTAAGATCAGGATGCGAGTTAAAGCACATTCAATCAGAATATTCGATGCACCAATATTTGCTGTGCCGTGACAGGTAATGGATTTCTTCATTAGGATAATGGCGGAAGTTGCTGCGCAGGGATTATATCGGTTGGAAGGTTCCCGATAATGGAGCACGACGAAGAATAGTTTTAAAATCCGTACACGAGTTCCGATTATAATAACTTCGTAATGTTTTTTTGTTTAAAAATATTTTTCTAAGAATACAACATTTTACTCGACCGCGTGTAGAGCAGTTAATAATTATATAGTGATTTAATAACAGATGACTACGTTGTTTAATTCTAATTTTATTTACATCGCAAAAGGTATAGTGTTGTTTTCGATTACAATATATATAGTGACTCAGTAATCGTAGTACAAAATTTGAAACAGGCTGATTTCTTTTGAAAAAAATTAATCAAAAATGTGAAATAAAAATTTTTTACGAAGAAGTCAATGAGGCAAGACGTAAGTACACAGCGCGTCATTGAATCGCGGAATAGGCGCGGGATCGGAGGGCAAGCGGGGCGGGTTGCTCGCCAATAAGCGCCGTATGAATCGTACGGCCCGCTTGCCCTCCGATTTCCGCGCCTATCCCGCGGTTCAGTGACGCGCTGTGTATAATATTAATTTGTTCAAGTTTCAAAATCGATTTTCTTGAAAACTATGTTTTGTACGAAAAACTTATCAATTAATTTTTTTTTAAAGAAATCAGTTCCTTTGCGGTTATACTGTGATTACTGGCTGTCTTGTATAGCTTGGCGTCAAGAATGACGACAAATGGAAACAAAATAATAGACCGCGTTGCCAATGAACTTGAAAATCTCTTTGTTTCCGCGATGCCGGAAAGAGATTCGAGTACTTAATCGGCTATTACGCAAGTGGTGACGTAGGAATCGTTAAAGGACCGCGACCTAAACCTACGCGGTGACGATAACAGCAGAAGCATTAACGTAACCATGGAGGTCAATGACTGCGGGAAATCGATCGAAACCCTTACCTGCACGACAGTGAGTCTATCGTGAGGTGCACAGTTACACGATTGCATCGGCTCGCTTTCTTGTCGATGGAATATCTATCTTTCATCGTTTCTGTTATGTTATGCGAACGTTATAAAAGTGCTTTGATTCTTTCCGGTTTGTAATTTTCAATCATGTTTCGTTATCATAATTAGCCATGTGCGAAATCCAGGTGGCAACTTTGATTGTAGTTTTTGTAGTTATTCTACGGTGTTTTATTAAAAATCATGTTATATATAGTTTGTAAATCATGTAACTAGTCGTAAAGTTTAATGGGAGTCGTTTATTGTGTGTTCCCGAATACGAGAGACAATAGTCGAGAAGCAAGTATTCATAAAGGAAGACGAATTCTCAGAATGGTCGTTTCTTATGTCGAATTGCAGCGCCCTAGTTACTCGAAATTTGGCGCAGAGAGGCGTTGCACTTTGTCGGACGTAACGTACTTCCGTCATATTTCTGTTCGTCAAATCGACCATTAAAAAATTAATATGCGATTTCTAGAAGAAAGAGGAGAGACTATATATATATATACACATAATTTTCTCTCTATTCCGCAATATATAATTGCGCTCGTATTTATATAACAAGTTAATATTTTAGTATTGTATATGTTGTAACATGAAAACATTATACTGTGCTTGGTTTATACCGAGAATATAATAATATATATTCAATATCGATTTCAATATCGATTTCAATATCAATTTTAGAACAATGTGTTAATGTTGGTACGTTTATTTATACAGCGTGTGATGCTGAACATATAAAGAACAGAAAAAAATTATAAATAAAATATAAACAAGAAAGAATGCAAACATTTTCTTGTAAATAAATTTAAATGTCTTTATATATCACAACCAAATTCTGAATAAAGATTGTCGAATGAGTTTCTTTGAGAAAGAAAGAATAGAATTAACATCTTTTAATGACAAATATAATGACGTCAATGAAAAAGATAACTTTTCTAGCCGGTTATTGCACGCGATGTCGACGTCACCAGTGTCCTTTTCCGCGCCAAAAACACATTATTATAGATTTTGCTGTCTTCTATATAAAATGCATCCCTGCACTACTGTCCTGCTTACGATAACAAAGCGTGTCATACACACTCCTATTTTTTTATATTTATAAATAACGCGTAGAGGTCATCGCGCGAGAGCTATTCCATATCTAGAAGCTCAACGCAATTTATTTCTTTATTTAGTAACGCTATATATGTTGAAAGTTAATAAAATTTGCACTTAAAGCTTTGTTAAAAAAACAATTTCTCAGTAGTAGACATCGAATAGTGACATAAAAGAGTGACCTAGCTCAAAGTTTCGCTATTATTGATTACCGAGCACACATGCTCCCTAACGAGTGCAACGTTCAATTACGTCCCGTTCTTTCTGTCGCTATTACCCGTTGCCTATTGCTAACTAGCGTCGTCCTCAAAACCCTCTCCCGTCTACGATTCATAGAACTTGATTGACAGTAGCCTCCGTCGCTTTGATTCAACGATCTGCAAACGAGCTGCGCTTTCGATGGAATCGTGAAAATCTGCATAGTCTATAATTCCAATTTGGCAGAATCCAGCCACTTTGCTAGATCAATCAAACTCGGTTTACTCACACAAACCTAATATTCTCCTTAGATAATTCCAGGATTGAAAATTAAATCTGTGTTTGATCTCTGAAATATTTTATATTCAGAGAACTATACAATAAATTCGCATACGTATGTCGCTAATTAATACGTGTGTCTCTAATAGAAAAATTACCATTGTTTTTGCAGAATGGCACAACAAATTTTTATAATTTATTTTGTATTTAATTACTGAAATTTTTTTTGTTGAGATGTACTGAGATTTTTTATGTACGTATGAAACAAGGTAAAGCTTGTACAATTCGATCGGTTATATCAAAAAATTAAAAGGGTTATAATACCGCAGTTCTTTTACATCGAGAGATAATTTGCGTCCATCAAGTTACATCTTTGCGCGGAAGTTTGCAATTATAACGAAGCGCTATTATTTTCTCAAAGAAAAGTTAACAAGAACAAAGATCCTTGCACGCGTCACTGGATGCGGGTGATTAGCAACAAATGCGATTTCTAAACCGATCCGAATGCACGCGATCTCGTTACATAAACTCAATCGTGCGCTTTCCCTCTCTTTCGGAATTGACGAGGATGTTACGAGGATTAAACTCTCGGGCGTTTTCATTATCTCTCCTTGTTCTATCTGAGGAACCACTTTGGAACACACAAGGTCCGCTTCTCGCGGGAAAAAGGGTTCGCGACATTTATACGAATCCACCTCCTTCACGATGTCGTCTGCGATTACATCGCGCGTGCGTGTCCGCGAGCGGACATACAATAGCGCAATAGGATCGCCGGATGCAGATCGATACAGCTTGCTGCTACAGCGCTGTGACCGGCGATCTAAATCGCAGCCACCGACCGACCCAACCGGAGCTCCGACCTATTTCCTTGGCTTACATTACCCGGCAGATAAATGTTCACCGTTTGCATCCGTCCCCGTTGTTTTCCGTCGCGACCTAGCAACCCTTCCGGCACCCTGACCTATGACCTACATTTGCTGCGTTCTCGTTCAGCCTGTTCGACGGCCCGGACCGCGGAGGAAGGACGCGTCTATCAGCTGTTCCAGCTGGAAAACACGTAGCTTAGCAATGTATTTTTATGCAGCGCGCATCCATCCATGTGTCGCTCTCTTCTTTCACCCTCTCTACTTTGATAGGTTACGTCGTGTCGCGTTACTCCGTGGGAATTCAACGCCAAAGGTTTCTTTGTAATATTAAACTTTTGTGTGAAAAATATCACACGAATTGTAATGAAATTTAACTCAATAACCATTTCGCGATACGCGCTTGAAATTTTACATTATTTTGAAATGTGGGCAACATTTGTGCGAATATTAGAATTATACATGAGGATTATATAAACCCGTTGAAGTTGTGGAAATCCACATTGCAGACAGATCGTGCTGCTGCCAAGAAATCGGCACGCTCGCATTCTTCCGCTCGATTGCAGCAACGCGGTCTGCTTTCCTAGATTACATTTCTAACTAAAATGTAGTCAGCGGTAAGTGAATTCGGTTAATCCGCGCAAGCTGGTTAGTCTCCTTATGAAATTTCAGTTGCGCGACAACAATCGCGCATCCATCGCGACATTGCAAATACGATAATCACATAAAAATATCTCCGCTTTGCAGGTATGATCACCCTGGTTGATGGTGAACCGGTCTTTGCGGATCCTCTGAAGGAATGGAAGATTTTAGTAACCCATTACGGAGGGTTAGCCAGTCTCGGCCTGATTGGACTTCTCCTAGCTGCTATTCTTCCCTGTGTGGGTCTCTTTTTTTGCTGCTGCAGATGCGCAGGTCATTGCGGTGCCCGAAGTCAGCCTTTCGACAAAAAGCATGATCACTGCAGGAAGATTATGCTCAGCATTGTCTTAATCGGAGTCGCCACTATTTTATTGTAAGCCTTTTTTTTTTTTTAACGAAGTTTATCGGACTATGCGTAGAATGTAATTCAAGACACGCCGTTTTTCTGTCATTTTTGAAAATCTATTTTTGCATGACATACAGCAATAATAGAAAGCTTAAACAAGGGTAATAATTCTATATTTCATATGTTCAATTACGAATAAAAATTCGTGAATTACGTTCTATTACTGAGTACCTATATGTATATATATACTGATATTTATTGTAGTTTTTCTCGGATTTCTTGGATGTTTATAACACACGTGTTTTTTTCCCATCTGAACAATTTAATGAACATACCGATGTACTATATATCCGTTGCACGATTTTACTGCAATTTAATTAATTTTTATTCTCTTTCTCTTTCTCTCTCTCTTTCTGCGCGAAATTTAATCGTTCCGAGTGCAATTTGATGTTCTGTTTCTGATTTCATCAAATATGATATACCATTAATATTCCACACGTCAAAACGTATTTAATGATAAACTTGTGTGTAAAATCCGATGAAATTCTATTTCCGTGACGCTTCGTCGCTTTTGCCCGATAGAAATACAACGTAGACACATGGGTAACTGATAAACCGTAGATTCGGCGTGGTGTGTGCATTCGTGACGAACGAGTACATGCAGGAGGGAATCAAAGAGCTTCCGAGTAATGCCAAGACTAGTCTAAAGGACGTCAAGCTCTACTTGGATGCCACAAAGCAAGAGATCAAGACCTTACTCGAGACCAACTGCAAGGAGCTGGAAATTTCGCTCAACAATATTCTACAGGCCAGCGGAAAAATAGTCACCGAACAATTAGCGGAATACTCGCACGCCGTCTCCTTAACGAATCTAAACGACATAGTTGCCGGTTTAGAATCGATTAGGGAAGATTTGAGACTGATGAATAATATAACGCAGGGACTGCGAACAAATGCCAGTCAATTGGATATTGGTACGCAGTTATCATTTATCGAGCAATTATTAAAAAAAAAACAATGTTTATCAGTTTTTATATTTTTTTGGTTTTATAATTTGCACTAAATTTTTAATTGCAAAAAGCCAAAAATTTTGTAAATCTTAAGTAAAAATGTCGAGTTTGATTATAATAATCAAACTTAAACTTCATAAATAATATGTAATATATTTTTCTGCAATCCGATTTTTCTCTCAAAATACAATTTTTAATTGTAATAACAAATTACTTTTGTTGATGAGAAATTTCAGAAATGAAATGTTAATTTATTTCTTTTAGTTGTTCGCAGTGTCAAGAAAAACCTTCTTCACACATTGTCTGCATGCACGACCGACAAGTGCAAACGAGTTTTAAACGACTATAAAGTCAATCAGTTGTCGGTACAAGTGGATTTTGATAAAGTAAGTGGATGCACAAATCTTTTCTTATCTCAGCTGCTATTTTAATTCTAATTACTTGACGAGCATTTGTTTCCATGTTTACTTGCAGTACATGGATCGTTACTTCCCAAAGGTATGATTATATGGTGAAGATAGTCTCTTTTTTTTTCACACAATATACAGAAACTTGCTTAATTAAGATGCCCTCAGACCTCGATATAATGTATTCGAAAAAAGAAGCAAGCTTTTAAAATTACTTTAACTTTAAATTGCGTTTGCTATCTTCGAACCCAAGATATACGAAGGTCTAAGTGCATTAAAACTGATGGTTCTTAAATGTGTCGAAACGGTAGATTTGTTCAAGGCTTGCCTTGGCTTTCGTTTGCTTATAATAAAGCTTTTTTAAGTAAAGTCACTAAAACTGTCACGAATCTTGAGCGATTAGACAAAATTTAGCTCCTTTATCGTTTGTAGATTGGCAGTACATTAAACATTTTTTGATTGTTATAAATCTGATAAGAAAGTGTTATAATACGTAATGCATGACATATAAATTACATATATATATATATATATATATATAAGAACTTTATAAAAAAATAAAATTGAACACACTTAAATACATCGTGAGAGAACAAACGTAATTAAAAGCAGCAACGCTTGCTACTTGCAATTTCTTGCGAAACATCAATATCAAGCATTATAGTTTCTGGCACTATTAAATAATCATAACTATACGAAAAGATATTGTATAAATTAATTTGATTCCATGCTTGCCACAAATAGTTTATAGATGCTGATGTAAGTTGTAAGCAAAAGCATGTAGTTATTCATATCATTTTATATGAGTAATTTTTATATGACTATATTTATTTGCATTATTTGATTAATTTTGCAAAGTAAGTTGCATGAGTAGAAACTTTTGTCAAAATGTCCACATTTATGTAAATCTTTAAGCATACAAAACTTCTTTCAGAACACACAGACTTAGTCTTTTTTTTTTCGAATATGATTGAAGAGTGAGAAACTCTTAAATGTTTTTATATGTATAAAATTAATTGAAAAGAATGGGCTTTGCAAAAAATACAGTTGTAATCAAAATGAGATTTAGAAAACGTTTTTTAAATTTTTATTTCCTTCAAAATATATTGCCAAAATTTTACACACTACTTACATTATTCTATTTTTTAGTCTAATATATACATGTATATATAAATGTTCTTTTTTTCATCTTTTTTATTTATCTTTGTATATCGCAAAAAATTGATAAAGCAAAATTATATAATAGCGGCATGATTTTTAATTTTTAAAATTGCACGTATACTTGAATTTAGTACAAAGATTTCAATTTATTTTGTGTAGCGGATGTTAGCAACGATTTTATTACTTACAAGCACATTGTGATATACTTTCAGCTTCCGGATGTTACATTCGCGTTACATAACATTACTGTACTCATGGACAGTAACATAGTATCGGAAGTGAGTCAAGGCAGAGAATCGTTTCTGAAGATACAAAAGGATATTCAACATGCCGTTAATCAGACGATTCCTGTGGTTAGCGCAAGTATAGAACGAGCTTGTAGCGACTTAAGCAATATCGCCAAAAACATGACTGCCCTCATCGACAGAATAAATGTCGACATAGATAGAGTTTATATTCGACATTTAGATACTGCTCAGAACAACATAGATCAGTATTCGCCTTACAGGTCGGTAATTATATAGACTTTCAAGATCAATATCGAGATAAAGAATATACGTATCAGATATCGACAAAATGACGCTTAAAATATGTATTTTCATTTTATATGCCGTCTTTGTAGATACTATCTCGGTCTTGGTATATCTGGTATTCTTCTGACTGTCTTAATGTGTTTGACATGCGGCCTTCTGTGTGGTATTTGTGGAAAACGTCCGGACGGATACGGAGATGATTGTTGTAATAAAGGATCAGGAGCACGATTTCTCATGATGTACGTAGCAAACCGACAAAATTTATATATATAATAGAAACAGTTATTAATATTATTTATATTATTTGTATTATTTTTTTATTGTGAATTGCAGGGCTGTGTGGATCATCTTTCTTTTAACAAGCGTGTTGATGGTTATCACTGTTGCTCATATGATCACTGGTGTTATGGCTCAACGTGGTATCTGTGAACCTTTGAAAAATCCAGAGGACAATAGAATGTTCGAACTTGTTGACGAGTTTGTACAAATCAAAAAAGTACTCTATCCAAAAAATCCTAATGCAGATATTAATATGAGTTATATTGTTACGTAAGTATGTGCGTGAAATATTTTCTACATTAAAAAATTTCTCTTATTTAAAACTTCCGTTATAGAAGGAAGTAAATAAAATAATTGTGTGTATTTCTAACTTACTGTAAATAAAAAATTAAATGTATCATTCAGAAGTTAATAGAGAATCTTTAATATCATTCAAAAGTATTACGTAACATTTATTGCACTAAATCAAATGATGCAATCATTACCAGCATTTTATACTTGATTTACTGTTTTTCATTATATAGCAAGTGCCATGAAAACGAAACACTCTACAAAGTATTGAACCTGAGAAATGTGTTCGACGTCCGAAGTCTGCGCAATTACACTGGACGTTATGATATTAATGATACTATCCAACAACTGCGTCGCAAAATCAATCTCTCTCCCGGTGTAGTAATTTTAAAAGACAGCGCGAGATCTAAGCTAAATGATTTAGCGCAGAGCGGTCTCAGTGATATCAAGTTTTATCAGTACGCCGAACTGTTAGCGGAAAATATTACAAATATTAATCTGGAACATCTTGCTAAACAATTACGAGAAGTTTCCGCTAAATTACCGGAAAACCAGGATGATATTAAGTTTAATCTTGAAAAGAATGCATACGATTTGGAACGTTATCACAGAGAATTGGTTGTGCCGATGGCTATGCTCAGTGAGCAATTAAGCGCGAACGCGTTAATGCTTCAGGAAAACATTAAGTTCAATCATAGTTCGATGGCGGACGCTATTCACGATTTAGTAGACGAAGTCACTAAAGCACAACAGTTTCTAAATAAAGACGGTCCAGAATATGTCCAACATGTAGGTCGAATTTATCTTTTTTTTTTTAATTTATATGTTATTTTACAACGCAAGAACTCATGCAATTAAATATATAATTAATATTATTAATATTACTTTTTTAGCTGGCAACCAAATTTGGTAATGCGTTTTTGCATCAAGTGGATGATTTCCTTGAGCACGTGATAGAAGCGGCACTTTCTAACATCGGAAGGTGCGCTCCCGTTTCGAATGCATATAACGCGACACTTGTAGCAGGATGTAATAAGATTTTAGATCCATTTGTGAGTATTGATTTAATTCACACAGAAAAATATGTTCTTAAATCCATATTTAATTGTCGATAAGTTTGTTTGACAATTTCTATTAAATATGTATGTTTATCACAAAAACTTTGGACTTAATATCTATGATTGTATTTACATTTGTATACAGAACGGTTTCTGGGCAAGTGTCGGTTGGTGCTTGATCTTGTTTATACCAACAATAGTGCTCTGCGTGAAGCTAAGCGCTTTGTACCAAAAGTCAGATCCGTATCCCGGACCTCTTGTTGAAGCGTAAGTTTTTATATTTGGTTTTTCTTCTTACTATATAATAATTCACGGCTGCGAGAAAGATGTATTTTTCATTGTTTTTGATTCGTCATTCGATCTATGGTGCATGACGATATTTGAGATACTAATGTGTCTTCACATAGTAGATCCATTGATCCGTTGATCGATATCGTGCATCAAATGTGAATCGTTTATTTAAAAAAAGAAAAACTTAAAACTGATTGACTACGCGTTTCTCTCTATTTTATGAATCAGAAATAAATGAATTATTAAAAACACGAGACAAGAGAGATAACGACACATTACATTCAACTCAAAGGCGTTAAAGCTTTCTTTCTTTCCTTTCTGCAAATCTCGACGTTACAATCAATCTCTGAGCACTCTTCATGTAGAAACTGTTAATTCTTTTATTTCCGTTCCACCGTAGTCACTCTCGAGCTTTCATATATCATGGCATGTACCTATTCGCGCTTTGTAATATCTCCTTTGATAGTCGGCATGTTATCGTTCTTTTATCTAAAAGAAATTCCTTCGATCTTGGAAATTCTTATAGAATTTCTTGACTCGGAATTGTTTCTTCAATCCCACAAGCCTGAGATACACATAGTCACTTCGTTTTTGTTTAAAATTTTTTTTTTACGTATAACGGGTATGTGTGTAAATTAATTATTCTTATATGTACATATACGTGTATAGTCACGACAAAAATAATTTTGTATTGTTCAATTAACTATCTCAGGCATATTTCATTTACTTAATCATAATGACGATTTTTTTTGTTACCTACAATACTCACGTCTATAACAGAAATTCTATCATTGTGTTTTAAAATTTACGTAATTACGTCTCAAACACTTTCTTAGTGAGTACGTAAAAAAAAAAAAAAAAAAAACAAGTCATGCGAGATAAAGAATAATTACAAAAAAAAAAGTTTCGTTTAGATCAGTCGAGGTTTACCGCGGTAGCTTAGATTATGTTTAAAGTAGTCGTCTAATGTGTGGAATGGTTGTTGGAATCTAACCGCTAACACGCTCCGTTACAGTGAATATTTGTATGACGCGTACGCAGACAGGGATAACATACCCCTTGCCCAGTAAGTATATTACGACGATGTGCCACAATGTGGTCGCATGTTCCACACGTATATCCCCGATATACCCGCATGTATATATAAAACTTATTGTCAAAACACTGAATGTACGATGCAAGCTGTTTAACGGCACGATTTTTTTGTATATCCTATTTGAAAGCTACACTGTGATTCGATTTGTTCAACAATTACAAATAACATTTTATGACATAAATTTCATGTCTTATTTATATTTCTTGTTTTTTTTGTTTTTGTTTTTTTTGTTTTTACTAAAAAAGAAAATAAATTGAGATAATATGTATATTGTGCTATTCAGATAATTTTAACTTTGATATGATTGAGTTTTTATATGCAGATTTTCTTGAGAGAAGACGTACGTAGACAAGTACCTAATTTTCAAATATAGTTTTCTTTCCTCAAATAGTTTTGATTAGAATAATTTTTATTTGTTAATTATAAAACACAGATTTTTACACAATATTAATAATAATATATTACACGTGAAAATATATATTTGAAAAAAGAACAAAGAGGTATTTATATTTGTATACTATTCCCAGCATATTTTAAATAACTTTTGTTACGACTTTTTGTTTTGTATTCAATTGCATGTAATATGCACCTTTTCGCGTAAAAACTATTTTTCGCGCTGCTGGCATACGCTCATCGTAAAATACATATGTTGCGTATTAAATTTGGTTAAAAAAGCATTTTAAAATTTATTTTCCGCTTGTTCAATCGCTCTAATTAATAACTCAATACTTTTTGTTTAAGCTTTATTAAGAGAAACATAAGTGGATATAGATGACAGCTTTTAGATTAAGCGTATATAGCACCGGCTACAATTATCTCTGAGGAGTGTTTTTTAACTGCATAACACTGCATATATTCTGAATTCGCATTCTAAATAGTGGTTAAATAGTCCAACATTCAGTCTTCTTTCTTTTGATGAAATCTCCAACGTAATAAGCCTAAACGAATTGGAGTCCAACAGGTTTTTGATTTAAAATTCTATCTCATCTCTTCACATCTCATTTAATGTTTAATTCTATTTTTATTTAATTCCGTCGCGCACGATCCATTTCCATTATTGCTGCGCAAAACAACAATTAATAATGGCATTGCAATTAACTAAGCAGTCAAGTGCAATTTGTCATTTTGCGAGTTCGTGTGTGCAGCGTTTTGGAGTTAACACATTCTGTCCAGTAAAGTGTTTCCCAAGATCTGCGTTACTTCGCATAAAGTTTAAAGGAAATTCTGTTCATCAAGGTATGATTTTTTGTCAAGATGTAAAATGTTTTAATTGTTCGAAAAATTGGGAAACGCTGATTCTAAAATTACTTAACTACACCGCGCAGCTTAGCGTAAACAACACATTTGGTCTCTAACTCGCATGACGAGCGTCATTTCGACCAAGTAACGACCTAAGAAAACGTCGTGCATTTGATTGCAGCGTCCACGACAAGAAGCACGTCGGATGTCACGGCAGGCATCATCCGGCAGCGTACGTCGAGAGTTACGACGGTCCGGCCGTGGGATATAACGAACGCGAAAGGATCTCTGACGCCCATCAAAGCACATCGCATCATGACTCGAGATATTCCGACTTAGCGCCGAAGTAAGTAATTTTTTGTTTTGTTTTGTTTTGTTTATTCGAGACTATTCTGTCTCTTAATATTAATTACAATTTTTGTAAATAATGTTATTTTTCATTTCGCTTTATTTAGCGACATTGGTGTACATATATTATATATGTATATATTGATTAAAAGACATAGCATTAAGAATAAGGTGATGTGAACGCGTTATATATACGACGTTTAACGTGACGCCGTGGCGACGTTACATTCGCGTAACGCCGCCCCGCAACGTTCTCCCTTTCCCCTTTTTCTCGTCGTTTTATCGGTTACGTCTTATTTCTTTACAGTTTCACTCTATCGTGGCGAAACCACGAACATACTGCCCCTTCCAAAACAGAACCTCACAATAAAGTCTTTAGTGTGTCACTAGAGTCGCAGTAAGTTCTTCTGCGATGAGTATACAAGACAGCTTTCTGTGAGACGTAACGCTTTTCAATTTGTTTATATCGATCTTCTTTCTATCTGATTTCGGTCAGTATGATCTTTTCGTGATTTTCTTGCCCGACGTAGGCAGGGTTCCCACTCAGCGATCATAATCCTGTACTGTTTCCGCAGCTTGGGATTCGACGTCGTTCCGCAGTTCTGAGGATGGAAAAACATATCTCTATGCTCAGTCCTGATCAGAGTTTGCGAGACGTTTCTATCTCTATAAGTCTGCAGAACGACGTCGAACGTTTTGATTCTTTAACGATTTAATGCGCGAGAGGTCTGACTGTTGAATGTAATAATTTTGACGTAAATTTTGATGCAATTTTTCGTGATGGTCATGGATTTTTTTCCCGGTTCTTCTTTCCAGGTGAGTGGGAACCTTGCGGGGGGGTCGACCTCTCGCGTCTCTCGATACGCCTCTGCACGTAAGTCGCAAAGACTATTGTTACAAATATTTCTGCGTTTCTCCTTCTCCTACGTTCCGTGCTCGTTCGATCTATTTCTTTTCAATTCGCCATGTCGTGAGTAGCTTTGCAACAGAACTAGGCTTTGTCGCAACAAGTATATCAAGTAAAGTAACACATTTGGGACCCGAATCATCGTTCTTTTCCTTTCACGGAAATGCTTATTGAACTAAAATTATATTTATTAAAAGCAATTTATATATTAGATATTGATGTCACGGTAAATCTTCATGTGGGAAGTATTATCTATTTTGTACACAAGCTTAAAACTATATCTTACAATATCTTTTCTTCGCGGAGAAGAAGCATGTCTACTCCAACGTATATCGAAAATATATTTTGCAATTGTTAACCGGGAAATTTCAGCCAAATTATATATATATATGATCTTAGTTTCGTTTTGCTTGGGCGGCTGCTGTATCATATGTTAGTTCGCTAAAGGCATTTTACTGTGGTAAGGAGTCAATAGATAATTGTTTAGCCCTTTCACTGCCGAAATTCTTTTGTAAATGATGTGTCGATTTTGATGAGTAGCGGAAAGGGTTAAGCGACTCGATGTGATACCAACAAGTGCAAACGCTATTGATTCGTAATCAAAATTGAACGCGCCACGTTGTTTTGCAATCATATATGTAATTATTAGACTCACATATGTCGTTATTGCAGAAATTGGGATTTCCCCAACGGTGGTCCGCCAAGATATCAACCAGCTGCCGGAGCTCCACCTCCTTTAAGTACTGAATATGAACGACCGCCACCCTATTACTATCCTGGGCCAGGGTAAGCGTTATTAACATATTTCTCTGGGCATTGACAACTATTTGACTGCAGTCACACACTTTAAGATATGTTATTTATTTCAAACAAATATTATGTTTGAGTTATTTCTCAATTACTTTTAAATGTCGTGCAGAGTTTTGTAATTATAAAAAATAATGAATTGAATTTTGTGAGACAGAAGAAGTTTTTGTCTGTTTCAGAGATAGAAATTAGGATACAAGTGCCGTGGCATGCACGAAAGCAGCGTTGAACAGTGTGGCGACGCACAGCCTCACACGCAGCTACAAGCGAACGCTCAAAAGGAGAGAAAAATCCGGATGCAAGAGGGACTACGTATAATATTTTCACATTTATTCTTGAGCGTGCCACGGATTGTGCGGACACCAAAACTAATTATGACCAAGTATGATACAGACTGAGATAGGCTATTGATTCTTTCGCGACATTTCGTTTTTTTTATATGGTGCGCAAATGGTATATGTGATTATCATTTGAGTGCAACGCAAAGTTTCCTTGTCATTATTATTATATTAAAAAATGCATATTGATACATGTTTTTATACCGCGTCTTTTTGCTGTCTTTTGTCTTTCAATTAAGTCTCAATTTAATTAAAGAGTTTCGTTTCTATTTTTCTATTTAAAAGATGAACAACTTGCAAATGTTCGCGATATGATGCATTTTGTTATTTTTTATCGTAAGTATCAAAAGCTTCTATTTCTTACTTGACGTTTTTCGTCAGTCAGAACTACAGACACGCGCGCAGAACGATCGATCACATACGAGATGGTATTGAAGTACTATTGAAAATGCAAATAAACGGATACACAAGAGAAATCTTTTAACGACGTATAAAAGACTGTGCGGCGTAAAAAAAAAGAAAAAAAAACTACGCATATCTGTCAATAACCATGTAGCACAAATTATTAATGCTGCCAATTCAATATGCCATTTTCTCCGTAAAGGGCCTCCGCTATTTCGAGACTGTCTCAATCCACCTCTTTCGACACTGAATAACGCCATATGAAAATGCCAAACGATACATGTGTGATTTACACGCATTTCGAAGACACGTAATGTGTCGCGTTGTAAATGTTGCGATTCATTACTTCGGATCTCGCTCGTTTCTATAGCTAAGAGAAAACAAAATATGCATTAGAAACCGAGTGTTCTGCCGATACCGACTTCTGTCGTGGCAGAAAGAGAATTTTCGAGCGGCACACAGTCGCTCTATTATAAATACTCTGTGTATACATGTGGATTTTTAAGTAGTCGTTTTCTTACTACTGTCTTATCGTGTAACTTATTGATATAAGCCGAGGAGATTCTTACGTCGCGTAGATCACGCCTGTATGTTCGCGCTTAACTCGGATCTACGCGCTGTATAAATCCTTATATACAATATATGTGTATTATTGCAGCATCCATTCTATTCGGGTACAGGCACACAAATTTAAGTGTTCGATGCTCATACGCGTCGATTTAACTCGTATATGACCAATGTGAAAGTCTATTATTGTGTATTATATTATGATATATTATTGTTATGAATGTTGTCTTTACGAGTCAAACAACAATTAAATTATAAGGTTCTTGTTTTTTTAGCTCATTGATTATAATATATCTTTCAATAAATTATTATAAATTTGTTTTCTAAATTGTGATAAAAAAAAAATAGCATGTTTCCTGTCGCAGTAATATGCATTTTGAAAAGAAATTTATCTAATAATGATCTGTTTTAAATTCGATAAAGTGTTGTAAAAAAAGCTATTGGTGAACAAAAAAATTACTGTAACTCGACGACAAAGAATATGAAGGATGTTGCGAAATGACGAGTATAGATACAGACCGACACCAAGACGCTCCGCAAATTGCTCTCACGCATATACAGAGTTCTCAGAACTGATATGAGAAATATGAAAGCGAAACTCGTATTCCACAGTATCTCTTTAAAATTATATATGCATTTTCATAATTATGATTTATGCATTATGAAAATGCATATATGCATTAATTATATATGCATTTTCATAATGAAAATTTGCATTATGTAGGTCTCGCTTTGATATTTTTCATATATTTCTTAGTGAGATATGCTATTAAAGCATTGAGCCCAGTGGGTGTTGGCAATTGGAATTGCCAAAAAGTCATTCTTTCTTCGCGCACGCGTTCAAGCGCGGCGCGAATAGGAGCGCAAGAGAGATTGTTAGAATAACAAAAACAAAAAAGTGAGTGAGAAGTATGAAAGAAAATAAAAGAATGTATGAGTAATGTGTGAGAGAGAAAGAGAGAAAAGGAAAAAAAGAGAAATGTCTCAATTTGTAGCAAAATAAAAATTTTTGCAAAATTCCCGCTGTATCATCACCGTATATTTACAATAGTAGCATATAGGAGTTTTAAAAATCTGCGTCTTAGTCTTATCAACATTTGACATAACGTATGCATGCATTACACGCGCGAGGAACACTGATGTATTTTAAACTAATGAAACGTAATAATCGAAAATAAGTGTGTGAATTTGTGAAGCTCTTGTACACATCCGATGTTTTAGAAATATATAAAGAAATTACGAAGCGCGCGCGTTTTCGGAGAACGAGTGCCGTTTATAGTACATATACACGTGAAATATTCCACAAATATCAATAAACAAATAAAAAATCTATAGCTTAGCGCGCCTGAAATTTTGTCGGAAAAGAAAATGCGGAAACGTTAAACACGTCCCTGATGCTATTTTTGTAATATAATGACAACGTAGAATTCATGACTTGAATTAGGCACTCTTTCTTCTAGTTCGCAGACGCGTTGAATAAACGCGGTGTAAAGAGCTCATTCAAAGAAACGTTCTTTATTCCGACAAAAGTACGAAAAACTAAGTTTAAAGACAACAAAATCGGACTGGAAAGAAAACATTGAAAAGATTTTCAGATGTACATATTTTTGTGCCACATATTTCGAAAACCTAACACGAAAGTATTCAATTTGAAATCTGATTTAAAGTGTTACAACAATTTTTTTTATCGTGTTTTCTAAGCTAACGTAATAACGGAATACTTCACAAAGCTATTTTATCAGTCCGATTTTTGAGAAATTGATAAAGAAAAAAGTATAATTCTTATTGTCATGACGTTGTTACATTAAATGGTTAAACGTTATAGTCTTTACTCCCCCCCTCTCTCGTCTGCTCAATTTTTCGGGATACTAGTTTAAAAAACGACTAAGTATCCTTCTTCCTCTTTCTTGTCTTTCTCTTGCTTTCTTTTTCTATCCTAAATTTAGTCATTCCACCAGAGATATTTATGGCAAACTGTGATCTGTAAAACGTGAGTTGTCTTTTATATTATGTAAAGACACTCACGGTTTCTCAGAGAAATAATTCACTTTTAAAAAATTAAGAAGTGCAAGTGCAAGAATAGTATTGCCATTGACTATGGTGTTTTTACAATTCACCAATTGTGTTTGTTAAAATTAATTATTATTATTATTATTATTATTATTATTATTATTATTATATTACTATTATTATTATAAAAAAATGAGTGTACTACAGTTTAAATATATCTATTTTATATTAAATCGATAATATATGGTGTTATTAAATCATTTACATAAACATGTATCATATAAACATATATCAAGAATTTATCTTACTTGTAAATAGAAAATTATAATCTTATTACAACAAAAAACTGTATTACATTGTATTTTTTCTACATATGTTACACTATGCATTATTATGTCAGACAAACGGACGGAATCAGTAATTATATGTCATATAATATCCGATTTAACAACTCACTCTGTTATCTTTTCCCCACTTACGCATAACGCGTATTATCTGCTCTACTTGAGAATTTGACGTGTTCTTAAGAAGCTGTATCACGTCCGATAGCAGTTCTCTATACACGGAGGAGAGAAAGAGAGAAATTGTTATAATTGTCATTATCGGCGATTTTTTGTTTTATAAATGTAACATACAGAATACATACTTTGGTAATTTCTCTGCAACAATATACTGGAAAGTGCCACAACAAGCACCGCGTTTGCCTTCCCAATGTTCAGGACTTGGATCCATGCGCTCCAGCATATCAAAAGCTTTAGCCGCGTACCAAAATTCACCTACCTTGTAACATGCATTGGCAATCAGCTGAAGCAGATTGAAAGATTCTGGTAATGTGTCAATCTTTAAATACAACTCCCAGGCTAATTCGGCTTTTTTATTCATTATGTCTAAATATAAGAAAAATAATATTAAAAAATTTTTTAAATATTTACATAAGCATATTTGACGACTAAAATAATAACAAAAGTATTATTTACAGCAGTAAGACAAAAGACTGATGTAAACGTAGTCATTTTTGTATTTCTCATTGCGTATCATCAAAAAAGCTTCTTCAGCTTCTTTGAAATAGCCCGCGCCAGTTTGAGCTTGGGCGTAATTAAAGTTAAAGTTGTCCTGATTGGAGAAGTATGTCTTTATTGAATTCAGATACAGTCGGACTTTTTCAAATTGTCGATAAAGGAAAAAGAAAGAAGCCATACATTGTCTGCCAGGTATGGTATCACACTCCGAATGTGAAGAACCGACTAGTTGAAAATATTGCTGTGCCGTTTTTATACTGTCACGCTAGAGTAATCGAGGTAAGAATTTTAATGATAAAATTACAAAAATCAAGATGTTGATAAACAATGTTTCATTAATAACATACAGAATTAGTTTCTTGACCCATAACAGCGTTAACTATACCCTTCAAGATGTACTCTTGTGGAACTGCAGGCTCTAGATCTTTGATTAGTTCGTAGGCCGCCTTGACGTCGTCTTGTTTTAAATAATATATCACTAAATTAAGTCTGGCTTCCGGTATAACGTCCACCAGGTTTGGTAAAATTTGTAAAGCATTTTCACCACCTCGGAATACCTGTATAAAAATTGAATAAGAATTTCAAGCAAATATATATAAGGGGTATTACATACAACTGTGTTGTGGCGTATAAGATCGTGGCCGAAACTGAAGGAACTCGATATCTTTTCAATAAGCTGCTTCATCTCAGCTTGTGCAGCATTTCCATCATACAAACGAAAATGATTACACGCTTTCAAATTGATCGCAATTGCGCTGTCCGGATATTTCTGCAGATAAACTTGAAGCACTTCCTGAGCTACATCATAGTAATCTAGCTTATAATAGCACAAAGCTACGTACACATTTAAAGCTAGATAATCTCTGAAAAAATATATAAAGTTAAAAAATTTCAATATGTAATAATATAAATATTGAAAATTGAAACATGTTACAAAAATTACTCTAATGAAATTGTTTTATTACATTGAAATTATTTGAAATTAATATTTTTATGAATTGGCAAGGACCCCTAAGATGACTAGAAATATTCATTACAAGGAGAGGACAAGGATAGATACCTGCAATTCTCTTGTAGCTGGGTAAGGAAGTATAAATCGGAATCTGTTTTGGATATATTTCTCTTAATGCTTCTTTTTCTAAACTTATAGCTGATATAAGATAAAAAAAAATATATGATGTGCACAAAACTATCTAGATATTTTTAATTAAACAAATTTATCTCAACCTGTTGTCCAATAGAATTCTTTTATACACATCAATAGCTTCCTGATAGTGAGCTTGTAAGTAGTGTATAGACGCCAGACTAAGCTGATCTTCAATAATATCCTGCAGCATTTGATGGTATTCCATCAACTTGGATTCATTGCCCATCTTATGGGCCAAGTGGAACAGCAGTCTAATCTTCAGCTTACTGTCAGTTGCATCTTCCAAAATCTTTTGCGACTCTGGATACATACCCAAATAAAAATAGCAGCAAGCCAGATTTGTCGAAACATCTGATGGTACGTTATCTTTTTTCCTCAGATTTTCATAGACTGTTGCCGCACGCTTGTAATCACCCAAGTGAAACGCACAGTATCCCATCCACAAGTCGGTTTCTAAACTGCTATTGGTGCTACTGTTGAATTCCAGCAATGTCAAAGCTCCAGTGTAATCTCTTTTCTCTAGAAATTCTTCTAATTTAGGTATTTCCTTGCGCGACGCTGATTTTCGAACACCCTCTGACGAGGCCGGTTTGGCTCTTGATAAAATCTATCGCGCGAAATATATTTATATGAAGTTGCATTTATACACCGTAACAAAGAATTGTATCGGTATGTATTTTTATAAAATCAATATTGTTTTGCAACTTTTATATTGTATAATAGAGTTAAAATTGTAGAAAGTAGAATAATGATGCATCTTTCTCACCATTTTGTGCCGAGCTGAATATACGCGTTTCTTTATCGATTATTTTGCCCATTTTGTTGTCAAGCGCGTTGTCAAGTGATAGTCGAGACATACAGAAACAACACAGAGCACGCGCTAGGTTCGCAAGGATTGGCACTGTCGGTAGTCAGATAACAGCATAATATAGGAAAAGTGAAAATAAAAAATCACTGTTAAATACAAAGCAGAAATAAGCCAGAAAGCACCGTCCCATGCTTTACAACTTTCTCGACTGTTAGTTTCAGCGTCATACACTTATAAAAGTAGATGTAGGAACTACCTTAATAGGCAAATTGTGAAAATATTATACAAAAATGGCACCATGAATAACGACGATCCTGCAATAATTGCACTAAGATGATTCGCCATAACGCAACAATTTTGTCGAAATAAAATTTTGTAAATAATATTTGTCAAAAATTGCGAAAAAGTCGTTATGCATTTCTATAAGTATGTACCATGATAGGAAAACATTTACAAAATTATGTGACAAAATCTTGCACTAAAATTGTAATTTGCAATTATATAGATATATTTGAGGAAATAGATGTAAAAACATTGATTTTTTATCAAATATTTGCACTTGTTTGCAAAATTACTTTCCAAATACTATTTTGGCAAAAGAATAACGATATGGCGAATCATCTTAGCAGTATATTTGCAAAATTAATTTTAAAAAGAAATTGTTCAATAATTGAGAAAAATTTCAGCTATGTGATGTTTAAAATATGTAGAAATATAATTGCATATGAAGAAATCAACTTAATTCATGTATATATACTGTTACGCGGCGGTCACCGCGTATGGTCGCGAGAGCCGCGTGAACGGCGCGCGCTCGGCGCGACTGTTTGTTGCCGGGCGACTCGCGAGTTGGTTGAAGAGATATTGCAACGGAGAGCTGTATTGTTAGTATTATCTGATATCGTTTGTATTCTAAGTGGTAATAAAGTGTTTTGAGAGAGAAACCGCGCTTCTTCTTCGCCGCGAACGCGCGCGTGAATCTCAGTGGCCGGCGATAGTGCCGTCTCGCCTCCGCGGGCGTAATATTTTGGAGGAAGGTTGTTTCCAAAAGAGACAGCAAGGAGAGGGAATGCTGGAAGTGCGGGAAAAAGGGGCACTTACGGCATGAGTGTCCGGCGAATTCTTCCCGTGAAAACAGGGATTAGTCGACCTCGTCGGGGTGAGCTCGGCTAGGAGAAGTAACGCCCCGGAAATGAAGCGTTTTGTTCGAAAGATCGGGGGGAGGAAGGATTTGTTTGTGTTGAATGGGAGGTTAAATGGCAGAATTTGCCGTTTTAAGCTTGATACGGGCTCCGACGTGTCTATTGTAAATACGAAGTTAGTTGAGAGATCTCGGTGTTGGAAGTTGTCGGGAAGACAAAAGTTAAAGTATCCGACGGGGGAAAATGTTCCGATTAATTCCAAGTGTGAGGCTTGCATAGCGGTAGAAGGGATTTCTTTTAGCATGCCTTTTTATGTAGCGGATATGTTTGAGGATTGTATTTTAGGGATGGACTTTTTCAGTAGAGTGGGAATGGAAAAGACTCGGGAGATGTTGCTCAGTTTTCGTCTTTCTTCACGTGAGTCAAAGAAGGTTTATTGTCAAGTGACTGAGGAAATCAAAGTTGTTTCGTCGAGCTTGAAGGAGCTCTTTGAGCGGGATTCCGTCGGCCTTGATGAGGCGCAGAAGGATGTTTTTGCTGATTTCTTAAACGAATTTCAGGACATCTTCACCGACCAGATTGTGGCCGGTAATTGTGAGGTCCTGCAACATAAGATCAGTCTACAGGATCCTCGTCCAATTAAGCAAGCCCTGAGGAGGGTGCCGTTGGGCATGCGCTCGGAGATGGAACAGATTCTTTGTGAAATGAGAGAATAAGGAGTCATTGAGGAATCTTCCGGCTCGTGGGTTTCTTCAGCAGTAATGGTAAAGAAGAAAGATAGGTCCTTGAGATTCTGCGTAGACTATCGTAAATTAAACGCGGTCACGGTGAAAGATTCTTATCCTCTACTCAGAGTTGATGATCCTTTAGACCAGCTGTCAGGCAATACGTGGTTTTCCATTTTAGACATGAAGAGTGGTTATTGGCAGGTAAAGATTCGCAAAGAGGATAGGGAAAAGACTGCCTTCTCGGTAAGAAACGGATTGTGGCAATTCACAGTGATGCCTTTTGCATTGTGCAATGCTCCGGCCACCTTAGAGCGGTTGATGGAGAGAGTCTTACGGCAGTTGCTGTCCAAGATTTGTTTAGTTTATTTAGATGACATTATCGTTTTCGGGAAATCTTTTGAAGAGATGGTAGCCAATCTTAAGAAGGTGTTTCAGAGATTCAGGGAGGGAAATTTGAAGTTGAATCCAAAGAAGTGTACTCTTCTTGGGAAGCAAGTTAAGTATTTAGGACATGTGATTTCGGCCGAGGGAATTTCTACGAAAAAGATCCGGAAAAGATTAAAGCGGTTTCGGAGTGACCAGTTTCACAGAATAAAAAGCAGGTTCGCAGTTTTTTAGGGTTTTGCTCGTACTACCGAAAATTTGTGAGAGGGTTTTCTTTGATAGCAAAGCCGTTGTACATTTTAACGGAAAATAATACAAAATTTGTCTGGTCTGAGCGATGTTAAGAAGCGTTCTCGCTTTTGAAGCAAATGTTATTAGGAGTATAAATAAGTTTCCGCCGTTTTTTATCAAAAATTGGGCATTTATTGTGAAAGAACGGTACATAATGTTTTATTCGAAGTATTGTCCATCGCTAGCCACTACCTTTTCCCATCTTTCTGGTAGCATACGGATATCTCGTCGAAAAAACGCTTCATCTTTTGAAGCTATCCAGGAATC